GTTAGACAAACTTGTTTGAGCTAAGTATTCTCTTAAACTTGACTTACGGAGTGAATATTATCAAATACTGATTTGTTTGGGGATGAATGGAAAACAATGTTCAAAACACGAGAATTATTGTATGAGTGGAAGTTTGGGTTTTGTCGCTTATTTAACACATCTAGTACCTTCACACAACTCATGAATGAGGTAAAAAAAATATTTCTAGGAGTTTTTTGTGTTGCTTACTTTGACAATATACTTGTATACAACTCTTTGTTCAAAAACCCCATACATTGTTTATCACACATCTTTAGAGTTCTAAGAACTCATAAGCTTTTTCTGTACATTTGAAAATGCACGTTCATTTTTTCAAACATTCATTTTCGTAGCTTTATTATAACGACAGCGGGACTTAAGATGGATCCACAAAAAACTTGCGTCATTCAAGAATGGTCGACGCCTGCCTCTCTGTTTGAAGTTCTGTGTTTCCATGGATTAGCTAATTTTTATCATCAATTTATATGTGGGTTCAGTAACATTATGTCCCTCGTGGAAAACCATTTAAAATCCAAAACTTTAGATTGAAGTTGCGAGCAACCACTAGGGGTGTCAAAAATTGACTCGACACGCCAACACAACACAAACTAGGCTCGAAAAATCCGAGTTAGGGTTGACCTGAATATTTTCTTAGTCTGGTTTGGGACAGAGAATTCAACCCATTTATTATTCACGTCAGGTTCAAGTTGAACCCAAAAACCAAAGATGACATGAATAAGCATGAATGTTCGGGTTGGGTTGGGGTTAGCGGGTCAAGCTTAGGCTGGGGTCAGGTTTGGGAATTAGCTTTCAACCTGTTTATTATTCAATTGAAGTTCATTTTCATTGACTCTATTTAGGTTGGGTCTTTTTGGAGTCAGACCCAAACCCAACCCACTAACCCATATTGACACCCCTAGTAACCATGTAGCTTTGAAATCATAAAAGAAGCCATTATGATAGCTAAAATTTTGACTCTTCCAGAATTTGATAAACCTTTCCAAGTTGATACCAATGCTTCAGATATTAAAATAGAGCTATCATAAAGAATTCTGAGTGGTGTGTTGTCTTCTTTTATGATTTCAAAGCTACATGGTTACTAGGGGTTTATCATTAACTCTATTTAGGTTGGGTCTTTTTGGAGTCAGACCCGAACCCAACCCACTAACCCATACTATTTAGAAATTTACTAGTTAACTCGTCATAAATTTTTTAAGTTTGTGGAATGTCAAGTTTAGATCGTTGATGTGTTGTTCAGTCGACCAAATTTTAACTAGCATATCATCCACATACACTTGAGTATTTCTTTTATCCTTTTGAATACTGAAAATTATATCCATTGGGTGCTGGTACGTAGCCCTAATATTATTTAGCCTAAAGGGAATTACGTTGTAACCAAAAAGACCCTCACTAGTAATAAATGTTGTTTTCTCCACAACCGCTAGGTGTGTTTTTATTTCATGATAACACAAGAAAGCATCCAAGTAGCTAAGAACTGAGTGGCTGATCACAGAATCCTCCAGAACATTGATCCTTGATAGTGGATAGATGTCCTTCATGCAGGCATAATTATGGTCAGTAAAGTCTCTACACATCCTCCAATTATCATTCACCTTTTACATCACCACCACATTTGAGACCCAGGTCATATATTGCACATCCCTGATGTAGTCAGCCCCCCTCAACTTATTCACTCTTCATGGATCGATCCAGGTAGCGTCATGGCTGAAGCCCTTTTCCTTCTTTTCATTGGCTAAATGGATGGGTTGACATCCAGTCAATGGCACGGTGAGTCAATCAAAATTCATGGCACTTCAGCTGCTGCCCAGATGAAGACATCTTGATACTTCCTCAAAGTCTGAATCATCAAGTCTATAAAAAGCTTCACTAATTAAGAAATATTTACTAGGTTTCCCGTCGATCGTGGGATCTCCAGGTTGGTCTCAATGGTCTCTAGATGTCGAGCGGGTCGTGCTCCACATTGTTGACTGTCTAAAGGTAACAAGCTTACAATTGCTCTAGGTCTCCTCAGACAATCATGATTTCATTATCTCTCAGAAACTTCACTACAATGTGGTAGAAAAAACTAGAGCCCTAAATACATTTAGTAGAGGGTGATTAAAGATGGCGTTACAAGTGACGATGAGTCTACCACTAAGAAGTTTTCTGTGAAGGTGAATTGCTTATCATCTTTTCTCCAGATAACCGCCAGCCCTATTACCCATAAGGCTTTCTGACACTCAACAAAGAAGTCATATTACGGGTCGGCCGACGCTACCAATCGATCAGTCGACAGGCTCTCCTTGTCAAAAAAAAAAAAACCAGACACACACACACACAAACAACACTTTCATAGAACTTTCAGAGTCAATCTGGATGTTTCCCACCTGATAATTTCTTATCATTGTTGAGAAAATGATAGCATCATTATAAGGTTTCCCCGTTGAGAGAAGGTCAACATCAGTAAAGAAATGGGAGGATGGGCACTCCTCATGGGAACGAAGGTATCTAAACAAAGTTCCCCTATCTGATGCCTCTTCTGAGGAATCCGCTTCTCTAAAAATAGTGGGTAACATCCTAACTATATGGATGATGTTTGCACGGATAGGCTTATCTGGAACTTACACAATTGGGGCCTTTCCTTGCCTCTGGGTAGTTACTCCTAAAGCCACAAACTCTTTGAGCTTGCCAGTTCAAATTAACTCCTCAACCAAACTCCAGAGGTATCTGCATTCCTCCTTGTCATAGTCGTTATCCCTATGATACTTGCAATACTTCTTGTTGTCCTGAAATAAGGTACAGGATCTCATCGGACATGCCTTCATAAAAAATTTCTTGTATTGGATAGCATCTACTAACTTAGCCATCGACACTCTAAAAAAGAGTGGCCCTTGGATTTTCGTGATTATTGGATGATCATTCATATTGTTGGGCCAATTTTTCATAATGTTGAGCTGGTCCCTAGTTGTGGATCCTTGCTTCACCTCCTTGATTACTATTTCGGCTGATTCCCTTGTTGTCATGAGTCATCCAACCGTCTTCATACCGAGACGGATGGAAGGACTTGATTTCTCCCTAAGCCTACACCTATTGTTCTACAGCCCCTCTTATGCGAGTAATTGTATGATTATTTGGGTTTGTGGTAGAGGTTGATGTCATTCTCTTATGTGATAATGTATTTATTGGCCATCTCTAGCAGTTCAGCCAGGTTTTGCAGTTCTACCAAACAGAGATCATATCAAAATCTCTCTACACTCAAGCTTTTAATTATAACATGTTCCACTCCAGTCTGTATGTCCTTCACCTCCAACATCTCCCTTTGGAATCGTGTGATGTAGAACACAAGCTTTTGTTGGGCCCTTGCTTAGCTTGCCACAAGGTTTACGACCTCTTCTTAGGTTTCTGAGCGCTTGAAAAATGCGCCAAAAATAGTCTCCTAGAATCATCAAAATAAGTGATCAACCCCACTAGCAATGCGTTGAACCACCTCAGGATCGACACCCTCAAGGTGGTAAAAAACAAACTACACTTCAGTGTGTCATCTTAGAAGACACATGGATGATTCAAACAATGCAATGTGGTCATTAAAATTAGACCGACCCTTATATGAATCTAGTAACGGGACTTCAAACTTCTCAAAGGGTTCAACTCCTAAGATTTGAAGGGAAAATGCATTTTTCGGCTGGTGTGGGGCCTCAACATGCCCAAATCTCTATTTTTTCCATCAGTGTGGACCTAACACTGTCCTAGTATTATGAATCTACGACCCTCTCTGGGCTATAATTCAACCTTTTGCCGTAGTAAGCCGACTCTTCTTTTTGAGGGGGGTTTTCTTTCGAGGAGCATGTTCTCCTCCTCATTCATAACGGCTCTTAGAACTACGATTTGCCTACTATTTGATTCCTCAGCTCCTGGATCTTTCGTTGTACAAACCCCTCCATGAATTCCTTAGCGGAATCCTTGTATATCACGTCTTTCAAGTGGCTATCTTCTTCTTGTAGTGTTCCTCTTTTTGTTTCTGGCATAAATATATGTTTTCCTCAGCTTTCAGAATGTTGAATTTGAAATTATCGAGGAAGCACACCTAAGGATTAGTGTTTAACTAGAAAAAGAGAAATAGAAAATGCACAGTAATGAACAATAGAAATGCAAAATCTTTATTCGATAAATAATCTCCTATTTATAGACAAAGGCATAGTTGTTAGATTGTATTTTATTAAAATAATGAGGGTTACTTTAGTATTTTCATGTATGAAATCAATATTCTTGTCGATGGGTCCTACCGAGTAGGAGTCTACAGATCAGTCTGTACTTAAGTCAGGTCGATCAGTCAGGTTGATGAGACATATTTTGAGGAAAAAGAAAACAGAATGTTAGTGGTCGTCAATTTGCCTGAGATCCATCAGGTGGATTTCTTTGACTTGATACTGACGAACAATTTATCAGTCTGCCACTTTTATTTCTCCATCAAATGGGCAAATTCCATCAAGACTCATGCTGACACATTTTTAATATACACGTATTGGTTTATCACACCGAAATAATATAAAATAAAATATAAAATTTTAGATATTAAACATATAATATATAAGAATTACACGTCACATACCTATATTTTTTAAAAAAGTTCAATGTTTCACCGATAAAAGGGTCTTATGGGCCCTTTAATTATAAACCTTTTAATTCGAACCCCCTAATCTGAGGGGTTTACTAAAAAATTATTTTATTTATTTATTTATTTTAATTTATATTATATTTCATTTATGTTATAACTAAGAATAAAAAAACAAGTTAATTTTAAAAAGATTCAAATGTTTATTTTCTTTCAATTTTTTTTAAAAAATAATTTTATTCATTTAAGAAAAATAAAAACATATTAAAAATATTATAGAATAAATCTAATTTTAAAAAAAAAATAAAATAATTAAAAATGAAAATAGAGAACAAATTTAATTCCAAAAAGGTGCAAAAAGTTTAAACTCAAACAGAACAACGCTCTCATACTTCAGTAATAAAACATTTAGATTGATTGTTGTTAGTGTTAACAAAAAATGCTATAACAAATTCCTCATGCATTGTCTGCACCATATACATAACTTTCACCTGTTTTCATCTCCAATCTCATGAAATTTCTGCCTATAGTTTTATCACAGCAAAGAAACGTCACCCACCAGCCCTTGAGAACCTTTTAAGGACGATGATCAGGCTGCCAAATAAATAAAGCCTGCAAACTTTTCCAGTCAATCTTTTGATGCAAGCTTCATCTGTTGAAGAGGTTTTTTTATTTTACCTGCAACTTCTATATACTGCTTGATTCCAGCCAAGATTTATGCACGAGATAGAACACCCTTGGTACTGTAGTAAATACAAACAAAATTAGAAATAAAAAGGAAGAAAAATAAATAATTTTATGTATTTTTTTTTTCTAAATTTATTTTAGCAATTCAAATAGAGCTCCCATTTTGAGTCCCTCACCTCTGCCCACTGATCTTCAATATTTATGATTTTTTAAAAATGAATAGCATTAAAAATAAATATGGAGAGATCAAGAGTTTCTATAATGATGATATTACATCAAGGATTACATTTGTACATTTTATGTTATGATAATATCAAGGAATATTAGTAGCATCACAATATTGAAATCATAATAGTTTGGGTGAGTGTGATAAAAAATAGAGGATGGAATGGTTAGAAATACCTAAAAAAATCAGAATTAGAATTAAGAACAAACCTAGGCACAATACCACTTCGACGAACGTCATGCTCTATCGCCTGTCGAAGAGCCCTAGCAAAGGCCTTGAATGTTGCCTCGATAATATGGTGCGAGTTCTTCCCGGCACGCTGTAAAAATTTCCAACAAATACTAAATATGTAACAATAAATAGCTCTGAAAACCACAATAAAACATAAAAATCGCTGCCTAAAAGAAATTCCTTAACCAATATCTATATTTAAATATAAGTCATAAGAATTATAATAAAGGATAAGTGTATGTTATAGTAGTAACAGAAAGTTTAGCATGGCAAACCATCTGCTTTACTGGAGCTGTTACCTGTGTTCAAGCAGTAGGAGGATCGAACAAGTATTTTTCTATTTCAGTTGGATTATATCAAGGATAGGCTTTAAGTCCTTGTCCTTTTACATTAGTTATGGATGCTCTTACTGAAGATTTACAGGAGGACGTATCTTGGTATATGTTTTTCGCTGATGATAACCTTCTTGTGGATTAAGATTAAAGAAGAGCTCAAAAAAAAAATTGAATTATGGGAGTCTACACTGGAGTCTAAAGGCCTTAGTTTGAGCAGATCTAAATCTGAAATCGTGGAATGTAATTTTTAGTAGTAATAGCAATTCTAGTGACAGAATTGTAACTATGGTGATTAAATCATTAAAAGGTGTGAACGTTTTAGATATCACGGGTCTATTGTTGAAAGTGACGGGAATATGGATGGGGATGTTATTAGTAGAATTCAAGTTGGTTGGTTTAAGTGTAGGAATGCATCGAGCCTATTGTGTGATAGAAAAGAACCGCTTAAACTTGAAGGAAAAATTTATAAGATGGTGGGGAGACTTGCAATTCTCTATGACGGAGAATGTTGGCCTTTAAAAGAGAAGCATAAAATAAAGTTAAGTGTTACTGAGATGAGCATGCTTATGTGATGAGTGGCTTGGCACTTTAGAGACAATGCGAAATAAATATATCCATGATAGATTTGGTGTAGCTCCAGTGGCTGATAAAATTAGAGAGTCGTCTTAGATGGTTTGATCACATTAAATGTCAAACATCTGATGATCCGGTTAAGAGATTATATGTTTTAGATCAGACTTATGTTAAGAAAGGCAGATGTAGACCTAAAAAGACTTGGGCATATTGTATAAAAAATGATCTTAATCCATTACAATTAAATGAAAATATGCACTCAATAGGACGCAATGGAGAAAAAGGATTCATGTAGCCAGCCCCACTCAATGGGATAAAGGCTTGTTGTTGTTGTTGTAATTAGAGAAGAACAAATTATGTTTTTATCAAAAACAAGAGCAATATCTCAAAAATGGGTTCAAATGATGAGGAAATGTTAATCAAAGGATTAAAATATAGAACAGAATCCAGCTGAAAAAGAATATAACTGAAGTTACCTGCTGGATATGAAGGGTCATGCCAGACGTGTGCACCAGAGATTGAAAGAAGTGTTCAACAAGCTAAAAATGAATTAAAAATGTAGAACATCAATCAGAGGCGCTCACATTTACAAACTCACAAAAAGAAAACAAAGGAGTAGCTGCAGCGCAAGAAAATCATAAATCTGTAGTTTCACCTAATATGATAGAATTAATCCAATGCTATACATACATGCATACATATATTTATATTAAAGCTTACAAGAAAACACACAGGATAAATTAGACATAAGAAAATTAAATGATTTGGTGATATCAATCTATATCCATAGTCGCACAGAGAAATAACTCTGTTATTTAAGAAAAAGATTACATGATCCAGCGTTTGCTCATCTCATAAGACGGCATTTTATTCCCTTGGGACACTTGTTATCATAAGCAATCTACAAGGGAGCTATCTTAATGTATTTTATCAAACTCCACCAAAGGACTAAGATGCCCCAATAGACCTTGAGAAGGAAACCACCATTCAATCTTAAAGGCATGTTCACCTGACTTCTCATGCATGCATGAGACTACAATAAAGTGCATATTTTAGGGCACAAAAACATTAAAGAACAATGAGAAAGCTAAACTTGGTGGAAGAAATTCAATAATAAATAAATCTTCATTCACATGCATTATTGGCAATGTACGGTAAGTGTGGAGCCTTGAATTTTGCAAAGAAAGCGTTTGATGAAATGTGGAAGACAAACGTAGTCAACTTGAAGCCCATGGTCATCATAAAGGGATTATGGTAAAAGACACAAATAGGCTGCGACTGAAAAGGGTTTTTGTAGTCTCAATTCTGAGATATGATATCTGAACCAAGAAAGTTTATGGCTTTTGATTCGCAGCAACTTCTATAAGATGATTTATCTTGTTTATAATTGCTTTGTTATTTTTCCAAAGCCTTTATGATATGTTTGCAAATGATTTGTCCAATAATATATAGATAAGAAAATAGTTTTAACTTTAAACCATTAATTCTAAAAATATTATTTATTTTCAATAAATTTATAGTTTTCTCAATTTGCAAATGAGCTTTGGTCTTTGTTAATTTTTATTGGACATACAAATATTGAAATCAAAGAAGACAAATCAGTATCAAAGTTTGAAACAACTCAATCGAAAGTTTGCAAAATTGAAATCAACAGATTTTCAACAACAACTTTTCACCCCAGTTTTTCTAGCATCAACATTTCACCCAACTTCTTCAAGCAACATAACTTTTACTGGAGACTTACTTAGCTGATGGATGGCAACGAGATTTCCGATTGGCAGCTCAAAAAATATAAGACAATTTATATGATATATTTGCAGTAATGGAAATTGTATATTGTATGAGTAAAGATGCTAGTTTCAAGTGGTACAATAGTAAATATCATGAAAAGTACTCGTGTTTACCAGATAAAATATCAAAATACAAATTCAAATCGAAAAGTAAATCGCTTGAGCCTTTGAATGTCGAAGGAAAGTTATGATAGAAAATTTAAATACGGGAATGGTGGTCTACAACCTGTGTATCATATGTCCCAACTCTCTCTGTTGGGATTTGCAAATCACAACTCAAATGTGGACGGCCAGATAAATCCTGAAACAATAAAAAAGAGTTTTCATATCAAAATCTTGCAAAATATATAGGAGTAATTAGCAATAAGGAATGAAAATATGAATAAATGCTAATAAGAACAGGATCAAAAACTTGAGGCTTACAGTATCCTGGAGAGAAAAAGAGAGAAAGAAGTTCAGCAACTATCTAATTTCAAGGAAAATAAGTTATTGAAGGTGTTTAAATATTTAGCAATCGTTAATGATCCCTTCTTCAGCCTTTTGTTTTGCATTATTTTACTAAGATCAAAAACATAGTTTTGATATTTTTGGTTTTGCAATAAAAATTGATTTTGCATAACTGTAAGTTGCTAAATGGCATTATTTATCTAAGTGAATGCGACCTTCAAATGGTTAAACCACCTAAGTTAAACCACCTAAAAGAATTCTTCAAATGGTTAAACCACCTAAAAGAATTAAAAAAAAAAAAAAGTTATTATTTTAAGCTGAACTAAAATTTCATAATCATAACAAAAAAATCAAAAAAAAAAAAATCATAATCGTACCAATATAATCTCCACAGCAGCTTCATCAAGAGGGGCTACAAAATGGCCAAATCGATTGATGCCCTTTCTATCACCAAGTGCCTGAAGAAGGGCCTGTATGTGCAAAAACAAGTAACCTTATAACAAAGAAAAGTCCTTGAAAGCATGATAAAAAGATAAACTATGAATAATTAAGATTTATTGATGATAGATAAGGAAAAATTTTTGACAAGACAAGTCTTAGCCACCGTTCCAATTGCAAGTGCAATGTCTTCATTTGTATGATGGTCATCAATATGAATGTCACCAGACGCCCTCACTACAATATCCAATACTCCATGTGATGCTAATTGCTGAAATATTCATATATACAAAAGTTAAGCGCACAAAAAAACTTTAAAATAAGAGTATTTTAATAGCATTTGAAAATGTTAAATTTACTGAAACCAGTAAGAAAAACATAAATTTGAAATTCACAACATAATGAATAAGAAACACATGAATCAAAAACACAAAAAAAATGATAATTCCAATTGATCACCTATATGGAATTTCGATGCTCACTAACCAAAAGATTATCACAAGTATGAATTTAGCAATGTTCTAAAGACAACAATTATAAAATCTATGTTGCAGTAAAACATGCTACCCGCTTCGGCAACTAAACGATAACAATGTTAAAATAATACACAAAAATAAGCACAGACATGCATCATACCGTGAATCAACTCAATTTGCACTAGAATTAAACATGCTAGTAAATAATCCATCATAAACCCTACAATTACTGGAATGACAAAAACTAAAAAAATTGAAACAATCCACAAAAGGAGAGTCAACTGCAGGCACAAATGGAATCCAGAACATAAGAATGAAAACACTGGTGAATTAAGACATACAAATGAAAATATAAAGCTTCATGGATAATTAATTTGTATGGATGTCCGACAAGAAATTACTGTTGTACACCCAATATCACTTGGAACAAGTTAATCGATTTATACTATTATTATGAAATGTATTTCGAACGACACCATCAATTAATCAAGTTGCATAAAGAATTTATTGAAGCTATAATAGTAAGAATTTATTTGGCAATAATCTCATCAATTAAGATTGTCAAGGCCAAACACTCAAAGCTAAAATCAACTCAAAATGAATTTTACACAGGATTCACTATAGAAACTCCATTCTCAAAGGACTCATCCTTTAATTAGAGCTTGCCATGAGATCTGAATGTATTTAGATAACAACAAGGTACCTATGATTATTAATTTTATAACAAGCACTTAAATAGCCATATCATATAATTTTATTCATATGTACCACTCATATAACAATATCTAAACCTATAAAAGGGGTTCAGAGAATAAGCACATAAAGTCGTATTATTAAAATCCTTGAACTTGTCTCTCTTCTCATTCTCTCGCGGGCTTAATCCGTACTTGTTAGTAAGGTTCTAATTTGATCTACTAATAAAATTAATTCCAATATCCTTTTATGGTGACAATAACCTGAAAGATACCAAGCTTATAGAGACACGAGAAAAAAGGAGAGATCCCCTTTGCATAACTTTGTTACCCCAGAACAGCTAAGTCAGATGGAAAAGCGCTGGAAATAATGATCCAAAGAATCTGAGTTGATTCCAAGAGCAACTCTTCTTTTGAAGGCAAATTGGATTCCTTTAATCATAAATCACACTTCAATTTTTTAGTACTCAATTTAGCTCCAACAACTGATAAGATGTACCTCCTTGAGAAGAGTAATGCCAAAGCATCTTTGCCTCATCATACTGAGAGTGTCGGCGATACCATCAAATATATTTTTAATTCAAAGAGTGAAAGTTCTTCCTCCTCTAAGGTTCAAAATAAAAACTCGAAGCTTATTCAAGATAAACAAATCCAAATGATAAAGTTGCTAAATTTGAGTCAATGGTTTCCCTCCTCACTGTTAGTGATACTATAAAATGCCGACTAGCACTTACAATATTTGGTGAATTGCCACTATAGTCATTTTCAAGGCTTACTCATGAACGCAATACTTAAGAATATATTTTTTGGTATTCAAGCAGCTTTTTTTTAATAACATAATTGTTAGTATGCAAAGATCATTAAAAATCATAAGAATTTATGAATATGTGGTAAGAATCAGATAAAATTTGATGCTTTATGATTTGTTTTTAAGAGGAGATGTTAAGGTCAAATACTAAAAACTTATGGTGACGGGTGCTAACTTAAGATCTCTGAGAAAGTTCTTCAAATATAAACTTGGCTTGCAATAACCAAGGATGTTGGCCAGATTATTATAACTCACAAATTGTCCCATTAATATGAAAAAGCACAACACTGTGAACACTTGTACTTCAAGCTTCTGCTGCCCTAAAGTCGCACAGAACCTGTGATGACAGCACCAACATCAACTGAATAACTATCATGAATAATTAAACTTGATGAATAAAAGAACTCGCTGCAACCATCAGCGCCAACATTAACATCATCAATGCTGAAATGAACAAAGAAGCCCTCCAACTTACCACCATCCAGTTACAAATAAGTTGTTGATAGTAAAAAGTATCCTACTTACACTTCTTTATAGGTATCTTATACATCATTGCTATATGTTATTTAAAACAAAAAACAGTTCCATTAAATTATTGTAAACTCATTCCTATTGTCTTCTAATTATTATTATTTTTCACAATGGTCATGGCTATGATATACATGATTACTGATATCTCTACAAACTAGCCCAGGAACTCATTAAAACAAGGATGTTTAAAGAATTATTCTCGTCACATTTGTATGTCACAATGGAGACAATTATTGAATAAGCAAAAAATGAACAAACTCAAACACAACTCATACAAATAGTTCAAGCTATCCCATGTAAATCAGTGTGAAATTAAATCAAGGGAAGTATTCAAAAAAACATTTGTTTTTTCTTTCTTGGAATTAGATAAAAGAAAATACCTGAACAATTACTCATCTTTTCTTTATAAAATAAGTTTGATTGGTTAGACTTTTTAATTCAACACTTAAAATTCGATGAGTCTTTTTATTTGAAACATCAAAACAAGCTCAAGGAACAGATACCATAAGAACTCATGGAACTCATACCGCAAGAAATTAAGGAACTCATCCACGAAAACTCAACATATTCATAAAAAGTAGTTCAACAATTTTCCTCGGTAACTGTCAAAAGAATCAATCTTGAAATCAACATTATTTATTCAATTTAAACTCCAAATTTTGGCAAATTAGATTGAAAAGCAGAAAGAACTAAAATTCTAAATGCATATCCTACAATTAAATCAGAGTTGAACCAATTTAAACAAGAGATTAGAGTGGCCTCAATTAAGAGTCAAGTTTAAATGTTATGCAACTACTCCACCATTTATATGAGAAATTTTGAGTGAATATTGTTATCATCATTAATTAACTTAGAGAACATTTATGCTCATGCAAATTATTTTAACTATTTCTTTATTCTACTATTTGTAATTTTGGTTTCAAAATATATTTTGCATTAAGTTAGTATGAATAAGTAAAATGTGGACTAATTTTTGTTTATTTTTTAAGCCAATTTTTCTTATACGCCCTTATTTTACGACTTGATCTATTTGATATAAGAAAAAGATAAATAATATAATAATACACCAAAATATACGTGGTCAATTTGGCCAAAGAATTTTGTTGCAATGAAAATTGTTAATATTTGAGGGTATTTATACATTTTCCATAAAAAGATACTTAAATATTGTTATTTTTTAGCTTTTAGCAACACATTTTACATAAAAAATATGGTCAATTAATAGATTCAAATGCAATTAGAAAATACACAACTTGGATGTATATGAAGTTAAGAAAGCAGTCAAATACTCTTTATTATGTATGTAATTATTGAGGTATTAAGACAAATGAAAGTATACCAAAAGCTAAAGATCATCTTACTGGCCTTTATGAAACAACTAAAAGGAGTAATGAGACTAAATGCAGGATGGTTCTTTTAAATATAAAGGAACAGTTAATTTCTAATTAAGATGGTAGTAGAGATTAATAAAGAATCAAGTATCGAGTTATTGATGCATTGTGGAAAGAAATCATCAGAATCAACCTGCATGGGAAATATCAATGCACTTAGTAATGGGTTATAATTCTCAAAAATAAAAAAGTCCTATAAATCATTTCTTGTATCAAGAACCTGATAAAAAAATTAAAAAAGAAAAAATATGAGATAATTTGGGATCAAGGAGAACTTAGATAAGTGATTAAGGGATAAAACCTGACAATAAATGTCTATAAAGATGCCATCTCTTTTAATGTAGTGAAATTGAAGAGATTTGAACAAATGATACAGCTATTAGCAATATGGAATGGGTCTTGTGGTTCAAGAGGCCCTCCAATTAAGATAGAAATGGAGGCATTTATATAGGATATGGAGAAGCACAAAAATGATTTCTTAAAATAAGGTTTATACTCTTGGATTCACTGTAAAGAGATATCAATAATATTTTTTTAAATTAATTCACCATTAGGAAAATATTCTTAGACTCAATTGATGCATCTAAATATTCAAAAATTGTATTAGAGATCTGAGCACCATGTTCACATCTTAAAAAGATTGGAGAAAAAAATGAAGGGCTAATTTGTTATAACCATTACTTATTTACCTACAGGTAGGCTATCATCGAAACGAGTAAAGTACATTATAGATTACTAGATTTATTTATGATGCAAATTCTTCATGTTCGGTTTGAGCTCAAGCCTAGCTTTTACTTATATGTTCAGAATTGGCTTAAATTATTTTATTATAGTATTTGGCTTATACATAAATTAATCGATTCAAAATTCAAAATTCAAAATGAGTGCTTCGTTTCTCATATTAACAAATAATTTTACAAATTTAAATGACAAAGCAATTCAATAAATATGAAATTAAATAAGATAAAAAAAAATCAACAACAAGCATTCTTGCAATCATATAACATAAATAAATTGCAGTTGTAACATTGATTTATTACACTCGTCAATATTTAGCTGAGATTCAGTCAAAATGAAGAATAAATCACGTAAAACAATTTTTTGGGACAACTGACTCTTAAAATTGCGCCAGGAAATCTTGAGAGTATTCGAATTTATGAAGTTCAGCTCTTCCACTAATTCAATGTCCTTAATTTTTTCGCAAACTCCTCTCGCACACAACTTTTGTTTTATCAATTTTTAGTCCTATTTGAAGGTTAATAATTTATACTATTCAATTTTTACATATTTAATTTTATTATTTCAATATGAACATTGTTTAAGTCCTTTGCTTATGAATAAAAGGACATATACTTATTAGACATCATGTATTG